CCAGTACCGGGGATTCAACTCGGGACCTTATCCTTGCCAGGCAGGCGCTTATGCCATTGAGCTCTCTCCCCAGCCTTTCAAAGGCAGTTTACACCCCAGTGTTCACGCTGCTGGCCACGCTGGCCAGTCCACCCCGCTCCTACGTGGGGAGGGACCAGAGCCCTGGGGGATTTATGCACCTTCTCAGACGTTCTCACTGCCAGGGCTTCTCTTTCCCTTCCCAGTGCCGGCTGTGGCCTCAAGTCCTATCTTCTGCTGTTTTAAGCCAGAAGGACTAAGAATTTTCTGTCAGAGTTGTGGCCACTCTGTACGGCACAGACCAGGACTGGTCCCAGGGTAGACCCTGGAATGGGAAATCGCTCAGTGCTAGTTCCTTCTGTAAGAGTCACATTCCTTCCAGAATTCACCAGCTTTGTGTTATTCTCTAGTGCCTTCAAATAACTTGTTTGTTTTGTTCAGAACTTATAGTTGTTTTCAGGAAAGTCAGGCCAATATAAGCTTTACTGCTGTACATGAAACATACTGAAGCTACTTTCTAAAAATTGGGGTTTTTTAGTAATACAAATTTCATTTTCTATTCACACAAATTAATTTCTTTTTCTACAAAACAACCCAAGAGTTACCTACTGTATTCATGAGTAGGGACACTGTTAGAACCAAGGCAGACATGGATGAGGAGAGGGGACAAGGCACTTGGAGTTTCTGCTTAAAGGACAGGCACTTCAAGTTCTGACTTCTACATAATGGTAAATTTGTGCAGATCATGGTATGGCCGCATCACAAACGCTGGCCCTCATACTACATTACTCGCTGCTTACAGGAAAACACAGACGGGAAGTTAGTGACGCCCACCAATGACTATGCCCTCACAGTGCAAAGAACTAATTAATAAACTGAAGTCGCCACCAGGAGGCAGTAGCACTTTCCACTCCAGGACAGTATAAAACAAAATACACAGCTTTGAAATACACATCATCCAAAACAATAATGAAAATGAAAGTAGTTCTTAAAAATAATTATTTTTTCCAAAAGCAATGCACCATTACTTCTCTTCAACTTTAAAAAAAAAAACCCTAAAGTCGTAATAAGTCAAAAGAACAGCAGCCATATTTAAAAAAACCCCAATTTATCAGGCAAGTTGTGTAAGTCAGGTTTTGTCCCTGTCCAGCAACCTTGCATTTTCAAAAAACTGTCTCTTCTTGCTGTTTTTCCTTTTACTCCATGTCTCTTACGTAATTTTAATTAACACTTAAGTGCACTTGGTTTATAGGTCCAGCCTTTGTCTCTACTTTTAGCCATTCAGCATTAGTTTCTCTATCTAGGACCAGACCACAGATACCCTTTAGATATTTTATACTACAGCCTAATGACACTCTTTGGATCCTAACTTGTGTGTGTGTGTGTGTGTGTGTGTGTGAAAGTATGTTTTTATTGTAACTAAGGAATTCTTGTCCACACCAACAGATTGCCTGGCTTCAGCCACTGCTGGGTTCGAAGTAAATGTGAATAGCCAACTAGTACTTAAAATTCACTTAAATTGGGTTTTCCGTTAAGTAGCAAATTATTTAGTTCATCTAGCACTTCCAAAAATGATGCTTTCTTAAGGAGTAAGAAAAATATTTTCAGATGTGATCTGTCATCGTTTAAAAATCTATCTATGGAGAAGGGCGCATCACCTCATATGTTTGTGGGGGTGAAACTTTTCCAAATAAGAACAAAAAAGAACTCAGATTTTAACCTTCAGTGTTAAACCTGAGAACACCAAACATACTATGTTACACAGAACAAAGTACCAAGGAAGTTTTATTTTTCACCAGGTAAATGAGTAACTAAATTGGTATCCTATTACACAGTCTCCTGGAAGACTGTACTTTGGACAGAGTAGAAGGATATAGAGTTGATAAAACAGCTTAACGGCATTATACTTGATCACTGGAGATAAAAATTGTATGAGCAGTCGTGTTTCAGCTTCTCACAATCTTACCTTAGTTTTCTCATCCACGACGCGTAGTCCGTCCGCAGATACCCACAGCACTGCCTTCACTGCTTTCTTTCCAGTCTTTGAAGAGAAACCAGAAGGGGCGGGGAGACACACACATCCGATGTTACAGAAAGGTAATCTCCCACAGACAACACTGACTTCTGTCTTTCAAAAAATCACAAGTACAGATGAAGTCCAAGTTCAGGAAGGGTGCCCAAAGCCAGACACTCAAACCAAACTGCAGAAACATTCAGGAAAAAACAAGCCAAAGCCACTATTTTAGGAACACAATGCAAAACAATAAGAAGTAAGGGAGAAGGAACAAATGGAATCCAAACCAAGATACTACATTCCAAAAGGGCAAAGAATTCATAAGTAGATTCTTCCCCCATTTAAAAAAATCAACCAAGACAACCAAGAGTCAGGTAGGTATTAAATACATAAGGAGTTACACCACAAGTAGCTTCTGCAAGTGTACTTATGAAGTAGCAGCCAAGTCTAAACTGAGATGCTGACAGTTCTAGCCTCTGATGTCAGTGTGTACAGCAGGACCCTTGGTTACCTGACACTTTCAAATTTAAAAAGCCAAGAATTCTTCATTATTCTATTAAATATGCTGAAAAGCTTCTCTTTCATCTCTCAAGATTAATAAAAAAACTAGTTTTTAATTTGACATTAAGTGCATGTTTTAAGAGATACAGAAAGATTTTTAAACATACAGAGAAAACTGTCCTCTAACGTGAGTTTTCTCTTTAACTGGCTGAGAAAAAAGACTCTGGCCATAAGAGAATCACATGAGAACAAGCTGATATTTTTCTGTGATGAACTAGAATAGTGAAACTTAACAATATCCTTTCTTCTTAACTGCTCTAAGGATACAAACAAAATAAAACAGAACAAAGGCTGAGAATAAGTATCAGATTATCATAAAAGTACAAATTGAAGGAACCTGCTGTCCTCTACAAGTATCCAAGCCTAGGAACGCTCAGAACGGGAGGTGGGGTGGTATTTAAGTGAGCAATCTGCTGCAGAGTGGCACACCATCGCCAGCTCCACCACAGGCACCCCCGAGCTGATGAGCGCCATAGTGTTAGTGGTGGAAATACTTGCAAGAGTTTGTATCCACTGAAAAGTAACACTCAGATAAACAGAAAATAAATTATATAATAACAGATGCTAGAAGAGAGCTGCAACAATTACAGTAATGCCAGAAAGGGGCACCAAGTCTCTCTGTGGAACTGGGGACAGCTATACCAGCATGAGTACACTAGATCCTGAAACAATCTTTATCCGCGGCCCAGGGAGTGGGCCGGGGGTAGGGAGGCAGGGGGTAACAGGTGGCGACTATGCAAGGAGCATGTGTTGCAGGGACAACATGCCGCTCTGGGGCTCTGTAAATATTTCAGTGTGGCTTGAGAGTAGGGTGGGTGACTGATGTGAACTAAGAGAACAGTGCTAGGAAAGACGCAGCTAGCCAGGGCCTTGTGTGCCTCTTAGTTCTACGGGCAATCAGAATACCAGTATGTGAAAACAAGGTTGAGTTCTCTTGGTTGAGCCAGCAAGGAAAGGAGATGCTTTGTGGCAAATATTAAGCGGAGGTGGAGGACGCCCCTGGGGTCCCAAACTGGGCAACTGGGTGGAGAGGGCACCACCAAAAAAAAAAGAGCAGAGGAGATGTGAAGGCAAGTTTGAAAGGGGAAGAACAGGATTCAAGCACAGCCTGCTGTCCATGCAATGTCCAGGCAGAAGCACTGAATGAACAAGCAGATACATGGGTCTGAAGCTCTAAAGGGAATTCTAAGGTGGAACTTTTTGAGAGAGATCAATGATTGAAGAGGGTTTTAAAAAGTAATGAATGGCTGGAAGTATCAAATGTGATCTAAGGCTCAAGAAAGCTATGATGGAGAGTATTCACTAGATGTAGCAAAGAAGAAGTTAGAGTGGCAGAAGCTGGTATGGTGAACTGTGCAGCAGTATGGCTGGGCTGGTGCTTGCCAAAACTGGTCTAAAAGTTGTTGTGAAGGTATTTCATAAATACGATTAAAATTTATAATCAATGGAGTTGGGTAAAAGAGATTAGCTCTCATGGGTAGGACTTGTCTAATTAGCTGATGAAGAAATTCTCAAGCCTGCAACATAGAAATCTGGTCTGAGTATTACAGATTTCAGATTTGATAACCCTCCAGTCAACCAAGCCAATTCTTAAAACCTATCGTGCACGCGCACGTGCGCGCACACACACACTCTACCAGTTTGTTTCTCTGGAGGATGGTAAATGACACAAAAGTAGAAGTTAGATATGGATTTGAATGAGAATTAAATGGAGCTTTATGAATATTAAATACTCTCTTAAAGTTTTTCTATAAACAGCAGGAGAACTATAGGGTAGTAGGGGCAAGGCAGAGGCTCAAGGAAGTCTTTAAGGTTGTGATAAACCAGCAGGTTACATTAGAAAGAGTAGGCTTTGTAGTGAGAAAGGCCTGAATTCAGTGCCACTATCCCAAAACTAAGCAAGTGACACGGACCTCTGAGCTTCCACTTCTTCACCTGTGAAACATTTATAGGCTTGTTAAAAGGGTTAGAGACTGTATACAGCAGCCAGAATTTAAATAAATCCATAGCAATTTATCATAATATTGCTGTTGATAAACTTTTAAAAACCTCCCAATAGCAAAGGGTGACTTTCACTGATAATGATGACAATCGGTCATATTCCTATACTGAACAGTACAAGGCAAAGTGAAGCTATGGACTAAAGGCCCAAGAAAAACAGAAGAGTAATTCACAAAACCGTCTTTGGGGAGTCAGGATGGGATGAAACTAGAGCACAACTTTTAGACAGGGTAGAATGGAGGGATGAAGAAAGCTGAGAGTGCAGTGGTACCCAGATGTAACCAGAGGTGAGGCAAGAGGATCCTGGAACCCAGGAATTCTGTGAGGCCAGCCCGAGGGTAGGGGGGAGGAAGAGACTGTCTGGGGTTTGATTTGGCTGCAACTTACTGGTGTGACCAAGGGCAAGTTAATTCCCTTCCCTACGCTTCAGTTTCTGTATCTGTAAAAGGATGTTAATAATCTCATGTACCTTATGGGATTAACATATGTAGAAGACTTAGAACTAGGCTGGTCACATCCTTTATCCTTTTTTTTGGGGTACCAGCAATTGAATCCAGGACCTCATGTCCACCAGCAAGTGCTGTACCACTAAGCTAAATCTCCAGACCTATCTTCTCTTTTAAAATGATCCTGCCTAAAGTAAAAGAGCAGTAACAGTAAAATCTACAAACAGGTACCACACTGGGGCTATTCCAGGCAAAATAGGAGAAGTCACCCTGCTGACAAAGGGTGTCGCCCATACTTAACCAACACTTAGGTAACAGCTAGCACTTTGCTGCAAGATAGGCTGCATGGAGGCAGGAGTTTTCTCCACCTACTGTATTGTTCACCACTGTATCTCAGTCTGAACAAAAGAATTTAAGAAATACTTTTTTTTGTGTGTGTGTGCGTGCTGGGTCTCACTACGCAACTCAGACTCGGACTCCTGTTTTCAGTTTCCCCAGCACGGGGATTACAGGCATGTGCCACCATGCCCAGACTCTGGCAGGCTCAGCACACCTAGGGACATGGCCAGCACAGCATGTAGTGCCAGGGATCAAACCCTGGTCCCTGCATCTGCATAAGCAGGTGCTTATTCTGCTGAGCTATCTCGCTGCCCCTTAAGACATATTTTAAAAAAGAAAGTCACTAAGTATCTATTGTAGGATATGGAAGACAATGACATAGAAGATTGCTAGATGGCACTGAAAATCCTATGTGAGATATTTACACTTGCGGTTTTATCAATTTTCACGTTGTGTAATTCCAGCACGGAATATTTAGCATCTAAGGCAACAGAAAGACTGTCTTAAGGCTGGAAGACGGAAGGTGGAAAGTAGGTCATTTCAGAATGAAACTGTTCTCCATTCGTCTCCTGACAATTTTCAGAGAAATATAACATTTTCTGGGCCCAGTTGTATACTTATGAAAATATCTTCGCTCGAGACATGCTTTTATGAAAACCTTTCAGGTACTACACTGATGTATCAGGGTGAGGAAGTGTGTCGTATTTCACGTCTCTAAACAGGAGCAGAAAGCACATATACTTTTGTATTTATTCATACACTCAGGCGTCGGTCCTGGCATGCCACAGGAGTGTTCTGAGCTACTAAGATGCAAAGATATCTGCAGCTGAAATTAAGTCTAGATTTTCCCTCACAATTCTGTTATTATAGAACAGTTCTACAGTACTGAAAACTTTAAAGTCATTCTGATAATGGACACTTTTAAGGAAAAAAGACAAAAGAGTGCTGCTTTTGAATGATTTAACACTACCTACTTAAACCAGTAGTTCTAGAAATCCAGATCAAAGTTAGCTAACTAAAGGGACTAAAAAAGGTAAGAATATGAAACAGAAACGCACATATACTTTAGTGGCTTAAAGACCCTTTTTTAAAAACGTGGAGCATGTTTGAACAGTGCAATTAGATAATAACGCCTCCCAGTGCTGGCATGGCAGGTGGCGCCACCGCGCCTGGGCTCGGTGGCCTGCTCAGCGCGCCTGGGGCTGGGCTGGCACAGCACGCAGGGCTGGCGACGGAGCCCTGGTTCCTACACTTGCCAAAGCAGGCGCTTAGTCCACTGAGCTATCTCGCTGGCCCTTGAAATGACTTTTTAAAAAAATAAATTGAAAAAGATAAAGATAATAAGTTGGTGATATTCTTGGAAGGCTGAAAGATTTTTCCACTGCTTTAATTTTAAATACTGATGTTATCTTGAGGAAAGAGATGGAGGAACAAATTTCTAAACTGTTTACATCAAAGACTGGCTTTTTTTTTTTTTTTTTTTTTGCAGTGGTACCAAGGATTGAACTCAGGGCCTTATTCCACTGAACTATCTCCCCATAGACTGGCTTTTTTTTTTTTTTTTTTTTTTTGCAATAAGTCTCACTACGTGGTTCAGGCTGGCCTTGAGGTTACTAGGTGACCCAGGTTGGCCTTACACTCAGGGCAATCCTCCTGCCTCAGCCTCCCAAGTGCTGGGAT